TGCATGCAGAAAGGGGAGGGAGGGTGGGATCGGGAGGGGAGGAGGGAGGGGCTTATGGGGGAATACAAAATGAATAAAGTGTAATTAATAAAAAATTAAAAAATAAAAAAAAGAACTAGATGAATGATTTACCTTAAAAAAAAAAAAAGTCACTTTAGGCATTCTAGTCCTCAAGGACCTAGCAGGCCTAATCCATTAAAGCCGATTCCATCTTCATTTGACGTCTCTACCATTTTCTCATATCACATTTTTATAACATAAGATCGGCCACATTTTACATAGATAGCAGCTCCATGCACATTTAGCCCATTTGGGTTCTAGGTTATTTTCAAGAGGACTAATGCCCTTCGCACAGAAGAGCTTCTGCAGGCCCCTCTGGAAAGCTGTGGACTTCAGGTTCTCTATATGCTTCAGGTACTCAGTGAGACAGTTAACATTCTGGTATGCACTAAGCCTCTATATCTTTCGCAAGCACATTACAAATGTATTTTTACACAGACTGCTATGCAAATACATATATGTGAAAATGTATAGATATTCGTATATATGTGTATATATGCATATATATGTGTATGTATATTGCATCCATGCTATTTACATAAAATATACAAAGTAAACTAAAATGCCAAAACAAAATCAATCACCTCTTTGAAGTTTCAAAGTTTATAATCTTGCTTAACATTGTAAAAAATTTTTTAAGAAAGGCTGCCTACAAACACAACTTTGTGACAGTTGTTCATAATAAATGTTGCAGCCTAAATACTCAAACTTTAAAATGCTACTACAGTAAAAGCCAGACACAGAAGTGATGAATTATTACAAATACTTTTTTAAAGTTTCCTATTGTTTTGATTTTAAATAATATGCCATATTACAATACCTTTAATGGGAAAGTCACAAGGCATTGGAACATCATAAATCATTATTAACATCTAGTTCCTGAAACTAATGATATTCACTATAATATGAACATTTTTCTTACATCTGTCAGATGGCCAAAAGTTGGTTTTGCTGTTTGAATCATAAGCTCCTTGATCACAGGGTCCAGTTCTACAGAGAAATGAGATAAATAATAAGAACATTATCAAAAAAAATTTAAGCTCATAAAAAATGCAAAACATTTTTGTTTATTACTTTTTCAAAATAAAATTGATATATTGATTCATTCCAAATCACTTCACATCATCCCGCAGAACTGGAACGTAAGTCATTCAGTTTAAATGTCTTAATGTACACATTCATAATCAAAAATTAATATGATTTCTGGCCTGCTCTTAAAAAAATCACTTCCATGACAGAATATAAAAATACTGTTTGTTTTATTTCTTAAAGAATTCTTGAAAAGGGCAGGAAAGAGATAAGGGAGGGAGGGTGGGGTTGGGAGGGAATGAGGGAGTGAGGGATCTGGATTCAGCTGGGATACATTGCTAATAAAAAGTAACTAATAATAAAAATTAAAATAAATAAATAAATAAATAAATAAATAAATAGAAGAATTCTGTGATCCAAATTAAGAGATATATAATTTATGCTTCAAATGTTTGTCTTTTTGAGGGTAAAAAGTTATTTTTAATCATACTACAACTAGAGTAGCCTATGCTGCACCTGGAAGTACAGAGGTTGTGTGACTGCAAACATTTGGGAATTTTCTAGAACATGAAAGAGGTCAAGGATTTCCATCTTCCTGCCAGGATTCAGACACAGCACTTGGTTAAGACACCAAGAAACAAGTGTATTCTGAGTCCCATTTGGGGTAGAAACTGCCTCTGTGTCACCTGATGAAGCTGACAGTCAATGTTTTAAAAGACAGGGGATGTCTGTTCTGAAGACAGAGGAGAGTAAAGGCTTCAGACATGCCAAAAATAAAGAAAATAATGCATAAAACAGAAAAAGGTGTGCAACACCATGATTCTTTTTTTGTCTTTTTAAATTTTTTTCTCCTTCAGAATTTATTCATTGTATATCCCTCATCTCCATCTAGTCCCACCCTGCCTCCCTCTTTCCCACATCCCCTTCCCCTAGTCCACTGAACAAGGGAGTTCTCCACTAGTGTCATCTGCCCATAGCTTGTTCTCCACTAGTGTCATCTGCCTGGACCCTCTTCCTCTGTGGCCAGGCAATACCACATCATCAGGGGCAAATGAAGAAATTACCCCAGAAATTGACATATGGGATTCCATAAAATTAAACTTCTTTTGTATAGCACAGAAAATAATCACTACAGTTAAAACATAGACTACAGAAAGTGAAGAATCCTATGAACTACGCTTAAGATATTAAATTAATATCTAGAAAACAAATAATTAGGAATAGAAAAACACACACAAGGACAATCATGCTAATAATAAATGTGCTAATGAATAGGCAGTTCTCAAAATTAAAAGTGGTTAATAAATAACCGAAAATGTTTTCAACATCCTTGGACATTAGAAAAATACAAATTAAGACAGCTTTCTCACCCCAGTCAAAAAAAAAATTACCCTGTAGAAAACAAATAAACAAATGTCTGTAGCAATGTAGGAAGAGAATAATCCTTACGTACCTCTGCAGAAGTCACTATGGACAATAGCATGCAATATTTTTAAAAAAATAACCTTAGAACTACCATACTATCCAGATGGACCATTATTTGTTACATACATGAAGGATACATATAGGATATATATGTGTATTGTACACACATCAATTCATGTATCTTTTACAATAATTATGGACCATAAACCTAGACATCATCAACAGATCAACTGGTAAAATGTTTGGTGTGCAAACATTAAAACTTGAGTTTAATCCTCAGAATAACTAAAATAGCAAGTTCTGGTCCCATGCTTATAAACTCCTAACTTGAGGGCGGTTGCAAAATTATCCCTGGCCCTCACTAACTAGTCAGGTGAACTTATTTGGTGAGCTCAAGAGCAATGAGAGATATTGTCTCAAAAAATAAGGTGGGGAGCACTATAAATTGATAGACAAAATTATCCTCTTGTAAATTCTTCATATGTAAATTCTTCATTAGATTCTGCATATACCCATATAGCTATGCAACCTATGAGCATATATGCACACACACACACACACACACACACACACACACACACACGATTGATGGATTTCTAAATTAAGTAAATTATGTCACCACACACTTTACATACCACTGTCCTTAAATATGTCACAATTTGACAAATGATAACTTGGTCTCTTGGGAAAACTAAGCAAAGAGCTTTGTCAGGATTTTAGTCAGAGACTATCCAACTTGATGTTAGGTTAGAACAAATACTTAAACATGACTAAGATACTGTTTCTGCTATTGTTAGTTAACATAAGACATCTAGAGTTGCATAAGATTTGCCTTGACTTTGCGATTTAATGTCTAAATAGAAATATCATTTCTCACAATACAGGCTACCAGCATTTTACTCATTGTTTCTTATATGCTAACTTTCCATTATCTATGTCATAATACTGCATTTAACAATTTAGAAAATGAAATAAATTATATATTGTCTCCAAATCAAGAATTTGTAGAATGACCAGAATAACATAACATTTAAATATTCTAAATAATCAGATTTCATTTAAATGTAGCTCAACTCATTGAAAAAGCAGAAGTCAAAGTGCAAAGAACATATTTCTGTGTGTCAGTTGACTATGGCACATGGAATTTTCATGCCTTTATAAACTTAACAGACAGAGATGGGTGCAGAAACGCCAGGTGATTCCATTTCAGTAATTATGGTAGTCATAAAAGAATTATTGTTTCCTCTGCTTTATAGTCTCAGAAAGTCCTGAGGAGGAACAGCTGGAAAAGTAATGTCAGATTGATCTGCAGGATGTAATTCAAAGGGTCCTGCTGTTAGCCGATTTCCCCACAGAAGAAGGCCCTGAAGAGTTGACAGATTTTCATGAGCATGTATGTGGGCTTTAAAGCTCACTGACTGTGAAAGAAATGGGCTATATCTACGCTCAGTCTACAGAAAAATAACAGTTTCTGGGAAGAGATACGTAGTGCTTCCCTTTCATTCTAACCATGCAGTGAAATGCACACATTTTTGGTTATTTAACTAATCTTAAATTTGTGGAATTAAGTTGATGAATTTATAGAATAAATACCACAACACATGCACACACACACACGCACAGTATGCCTGCCGCAGCCTGTTTGTGAGGTGCTACGCCCATGCACATGTGACTGCTTTTGAGATTGGGCAATAATTTTTCTCATAATGTCCTTGTCCATTTGGAGTGGAAGAGGTACAATGGGTCTGGTTTGTAGCACAAAAAACTATCAGCATCTATTCTATGTAAGGGTTTATGCAGAATTCATTCACGTCTTTCTTAAATGCTTCGTAAATTTCATGAGTTAAAAACAAGGAGTATGGTCAGAGTATCTTAAATTAAATATTAAGTTATTTTCATAAATAATATTATTCATTTTAATGTCTGTTGTGATTTTTCTGGTACTTCTGTTTCTAGAATTTTCTTAATTTCGTCTAAACGTTTAAATTTATTGGCATGGGTAATTATAGCAGCCTCTTTTGGTTTCTAAAAGGCTTGTTCTACAAGGCTCAGGGTACACATGTATGTGGGTGTTTTCCATGGCCGGGGAGGACACCAGATCCTCTGCAGCTGAGGTGTAAGCAGCTGTGAGCTGTCCTAGGTGGGTTCTGAGAACAGCTTGGGTCCTCTCAAACAGTGGTACATCCATATTCTTAACCCTGAAGCCTCCTGTACAGCAAAACCAGCTTTATTAGTGCAGAACAGCACAGCTGTAGATACTAGGCCCAAATAAGCCAGATAATTTAAGTTTTTTGTTCTAATTCTGTGAGTAGTTAGTTTTAATTTCTCTGTGTTTTAACAGTTTACTTACTTGGAAACACATTTTTTAAACTCCTTTAATCCCAGCAAATGGGAGGCAGAGGTAGGTGGATCTGTATGAGCTCAAGGCGAGACCGGCTTACATAGTGAGTTCAGGACAATCAGAGGTATGTAATGAGACAGTATCTCAAAAAAATGACAACAAAAAAAAAACTACATAAATAAAATTTAAAGCTTTATGCTGTCAGTTGGTATTTCCTTTGCTTATTTGCTCTTTGAGTTTCATAGCTAGAAGCTGTCTCCACAGTATGACATCAATGTCTATAATCATGTTACTTTCCAACTGCTTTATAGATTTAGTGATGGTGTTCCAAGACTTCATTCATTTACCTTATTTTTGTTAATGTTATTTAAACATAAACTTAGTTTTAAACTAGTGTATTTGTCTAACCACTGCTTTGTTTGTTTGTTTGCTTGTTTGTTTGTTTGTTTGTTTGTTGGATGGATGGAGCCAGGCCTTATGATAAGGAAGCTGAGGTGGTAGGCTCACAGGTTCCCTGGGGTTTGCCCTCAGCTGCAAACTGAATTCACCACTGTGGGAAGCTTCATGAACCCAGGCTCAAAAGATTAAGAGAGGCCTGGTGTTGTAGCTAGATGGTAAAGCGCTAGCCTAGCTAGCACTCATGAAACCATACCTTAAATTTTCAGAGAAAGAGAGGGAAAAGTTAATCAACGTCTGAATTGTTATTTGTTTTGGAATCTTCATTAAATGGTGAGTTTTTATTAATTGATAGTTGAATACCACAGAATAAGGATGACTGTAATTATATGCTGGGCTATACAGTCAGAAACATGATCTGTCTTACTTTGATAGTCTATTTCAACATATTTTTGACTGTTCTGGGTTCTTTAGGTTTTTATATGGGTTTTTAGGAACTTTTTTGTCAATTTATATACTCAAAGAAATGGGGATGTTGACAGAGTTATGGCAAATTTGCTATATGATCTAGGTAGTATTGCTCTCTTACCACAATGTTTCTAAATTTTTGCAGAATACATTGTATTTTCAGTTTTTAAATCACTTACTTTCTTATTTTTATCGCTAAATGTACATTTTTTATTATTATCATAAGTTACTTTTCTTAGGTTCAATTTTGCTTCATCATGACTGATTTGTAGAAACATAGTTTTACCCAATGTAACCTGACCATTTATCAGCTCACTTATTATCTCTCATG